CTCTTCGTAAGGTACTTATTGTTGAGAATTTCCCACATCTTCATCGCAGACGTCACCCCAATCACATCGTATTTCAGCTCCTGTTCCAAACAGGACCTGATCACCCCGCAAGCATTTCGATTCATCTTTTCCCATATCGCCTCTTCATATTTAGGTGGCCTCACATCGACCATGATGGTCTCCTCCAGATTTTGAGCATTGAGCGCATCCTGTACGTCGCTCATCCACAAACCAAAATTGATCTTGCCGTCATATTTCACAACACTAATCTTAGTGTTCTGAAAACCCACTTGAACTGTGCCTGTCATCTTGCTGCTTTCACCAATTACTTCACCCATAATCACAACTTCCAAATTGTAGAGAAAGATCCAAACTTTAAGAAGAATAAGAAATTACCCAACTGAACCCTAGATTGGATTCCAAATAGAACTCCTAACCACACGAGGAAAGCGAGATCTCCAACGGCAACTTCAAACCCTAACTCCACCAAAACCTAGAACTCCAAGAACCAAGCTTCAAACTGAATCTTCCTCCACCTAATCCAAAACCCTAGATCTGAATCTGGGCTCTGATACCACTTGTCGCGCGCCTTTGCGGAAGCCTTGCACGAACTCACAACGAACCTGTGATCACGAGTAGAAGAAAGCCAAACACTTGCACAAACCAAGCCAATTACGACAAATCAAACCAAACACAAGGATATACGTGGTTCGGCAATTGCCTACGTCCACGGGGAGAGGATGGGGAGATTTCACTATATGGAGGAGAAATACAACGGGTTACAACTCACAAAATCACTCAAATATAACCCTAACCAAAGCTCTCAACTCCCTCACAATATCTCCCTCTCAAAGTGCTCAAAACAATGCTAAATCTCTTCTTTTCTCTCCTTAAGAAACCCTAAAAAAACGTGGTCCTATTTATAATAAAACACAATCCCAAACAAAGGAGGATTCCTCAACAAATAAGGATTCTAAAAACGAGTCTGCCACACCCTGCACCATGGGTGTGGCAGAGGGTGTGGTGCAGGAGTGGTGCAGGACAGATTCTGCCACACCCTGCACCGTGGGTGTGGCAGAGGGTGTGGTGCAGGACAGACTCTACCACACCCATGGCAGACACCACACCAGGGTGTGGTGGAGCCTGTTTTGAGTTATTCTTCACGTTTTTCACAATTCCTTCGCCGTTTTCACAAGTTAAAGGTGCATTTGAAATTTCATAGAAATATTATATACAGATTAAAAGTTGACCTGTTTTTCCAATCCTTCAAATTCTATTGTTTTCTTCTGATCTCTCTCTTCATGCATGCACATGGAATTCAGTCATAAATCATGTAGCATGCATATGAAATTCAATCTATTGTATCTGTTTGTGTACAGTGATGCTAGTAGCATTAGCTGCTCGTATAAATAATAGACATGTAGCATTAGAAGTTAGAAATATGAAATTATAATTATTTATAATAAAAATAATTTCTATAAAAATTATTTTTCAATTAGTAAGCCAAAAGTCAGAAATTGTTGCTGAGACGGTGTACCAAAATATAACTATCAACTGAAAATTTATTTCTATAAGAAAAAATATCATTTCTATAAAACTTATTTTTCTAAAAAAATAAATTATTTAGTCATATAAAAAAAATTATGTTTTTAAAATTCTGTCTTTTTGCAAGGGCATTATTAGAAAACTAAAATTTATTCTTACTTGTGAACAAATGATACCAAATATGGGAATGAGAATAAGATTGTCATTCCCGTTTTATTCTCTAAACGTGCCCAAACATGAGAATGTGAATGTGCATTCTATTACCGCATCTATTCCATTCCATTCCTACTTTCTTTCTATTCCCACTTGACTCCATTCCTGTGTACCAAACGTGATGTAAGATTCTTTTAAATATTTCTCCGGCTCTTGGAATCTAGGTTGAATTTCAATCTAAATAACATTGGGTGTTCTCATATGATCATGCCGATTAATTAAGAGTAAGGTACTATAAATATTTTGTGGAGAAAGAAGAGACTACTAGAAAGAGGAGGATCGTATTGTGTAGCTGCAAATAAACAGCTTAATGAGAGTATGCAATGAATCAGATCCACAATATTAATAATGCATTAAAAAACTATTAGTTTTTGAACCAATGCATGAATCCTGAAGTCTAATGATCTGAATATTCATATGCCCCAGTTGCAATGTAAACGTCATGGACCTGATTCACAAGATACATTTCAATGAGTGTTACCAAGTTTGATAGAGGATAACACACCATTTCGCGTGAAAATACAGAACTGGCTAACAACTAACCCTCTCTTATGACGAACTAAATGCTTAGCTTAATAGTTGATCATCAATGTTAAATGGACTAGTCTTCATTATACGGATCTCTTCTCTTGTGCAAGCAACTGGGTCTCCAACAAATTAATACTGCATCAATTGCATCAATTCCTTTCGGACGAGACTTGGCAGTTTACAAAGTCCAAGGAACAATAATTAACGATGAGAATCTTCAACAATGAATCCAATATTCAAGAACTAAATGGATAGTTGAGAATAGCTAAATGCATTGCACATTCAAAACTACTGGTGTGCATTCCGTGCAAAGCACGACCTCATATTTTTTTAATCACTAGATTTTTAATTTGTTTCCCTCTAAGTTTTAATACATTTGATTTAATTATTGTATGTTTAAAATTAGAAATCATATCTAGTCCTCTATACTTAAAAAATAATCCAAATTTTAATACATTTGATTTAGAAATCATATTTATCCCTCTATACTTAAAGAAGGATCCATGTTTTAATACATTTAATTTGCTTTATTATTTATGATATAGTAAATCACTACAGTACGAAGCACGGAGAAGAAAATTTGATTTTCTATTTACACTACAGTAAATTACTGTAGTATGAACAATAATTTCGAGTACAGAGGTCCACATTTGCTTTACTATGTATACTACCCTATTTATTATAGTATGAACAGTATTTGTTTGGGTTTTCCTGAGTACTAGTTTGCGGTCCGTGCAAAGCACGGGTTTTTGCTACAGTAATCCCTTTTTTTAAATATGGTATGATTTGAATTTTTAGAAGTGTTACAGTATCCCGCTCTGCTACAGTACCTTTTAAATGTTACAGTATACCCGTGTGCTACAGTACTATTTTAAATTAATCATTAGATACAGTAGTAATGTTGCCGTAAATGTTACTGTAGCAGTTACTGTAGCATGAACAGTGAATCTCTGGTCCTCCTATTTGTATAAAGGAATAGATATAAAGGAGTAGATTGCCCAACTGAATGAAAACTATTATTTCATCAATTTCTAACAACTTGTCCTTCAATTAAAACATTTTCCACAACAGGGAGAAAGCTAATTACCAAAATGGCCGTTCTGGGATGTACTTGGGAGTAACGGTAAGTTTCCTAGATTTTTTTGCCAATAAATTATTGACACGTGCGATACAGAGAGTCAGTTCGTATCTAGCGAGGGAGGATGGAACTGGTTACAGCAGAATCTTCTCGACACGTGGGCCTAAATTGCAGGTGGCATCACGTGACGACCAAAGTTCTTTGGCTGTTCGACTTGCCGCCGGCGTTTATGAATGAATTACGAAAGAGCCCCCGATTATTTTTCACGTGTTCGATCCATTTGTGTGATAACCCCCATAAAATTACTGGTCAAACGAAGGGATTGGGATCCTCTACTCATCAATAGTGGTTCTTAACATTTGCTAATGTATCATCACCTTTCATTTTGTAGGACCATCTTTTATTTATCCACAAAATAAAAGATGGGGATGTATTAGCAAATATTAAGAGCCACTATTGATGAGTAGAGGAATCTCAATCCAAAGATTAAAAGTGGTTTTTTTTACCAGCACCCACCTTGGAATTATCTTTTAATTTCAATTTATTTATAGATTATTTTTAAAGTAGATTTTCATTACAATCAATCAACTCTGATCAATTTTTTTTTTATTAAAACTCTAAATTTTGTCTTTAGAAAACTCACATTCAAGACACATGATTCTTTTTTTTAGTATTAGGTCTTGTTAGGATACAACTTAGGTAATTTGAACTTGAAGTTTTTAAACGTATTTTTAAATTTTTCTAGTAAAATTTTGACCGGGATATGATGATCGCAGCAAAAACCAAAAACCTACTTTAAAGATTGTTTATTATAAACTAAAATTAGAAGATGGTGGTTTATAGTAAAAAAAAAAATCAAAGAATAAAAGATAATCTGTCATGTTCCAATGTTGCATTTGATATAAATTAAAGAGTAGTCCAGCTGCTGATTATTGGTAAAGAAAAAAAAAACACCATAAACATTATGACCACCTAATTAAATGCCTTATTCGAAGGAAACGAATGATGTAAACATGAGCCTAACTTGATCATTTGTGCATGTGATACCCATCAGAATAAAAATCATTGTCAATCACATCATATATAGGTATCAATTAATAGAGTAGTGTTTAAACAAAGACGCCTGAAAGGATGCAAGAAAAGCCTACCTCTATACGTAAAAAATTTGCTATTCCTTGAGATTTTTAAGATTCAATTGACAACAACTTCAAAAATCTTCTAACAAACAAAATGTCTATTTCAATTGAAGAAAACAACATAAATATTTAAAAAAAAAAGATCTTAAGAAATAATAGTTACAAGTTACTGCTCCTTCTTAATTATTTCAATATGAAATTATATCTACAAAAGAATGTCGATGTCTTTTTCCTTAAAAAAAAAAAAATCTCAACATTTTGAATTAATCTTTGTTGATTCTTTCTACGGATTCGGATCTAAGCGGTTATTTTGCATGAAAGTCCGATCCGAATGGGATATCGAATATCCGTCAAATTATTAGAAGTTTTCAGATGCCTCGCTGGCGGTAAATACATAAGCTGTAAAGGGTGTTTTTGGTAATTTCCTTCCTACAGTTACCGAAACAGACGGCGTCTTTACATTATAAAGAAGCGAAGCGTGGCTCTTGGACAAAGGCGGCATAAAAAAAATAAAAAATAAAAAAATAATTAGGGTTTTCGAATATCGCATTTTCTGGATTCGGGGTTTTTGAGATCGCATCGGATTGATATCGGTTGATAGATCTTATTCTTTCTCTTCTGCTGAATCTCGGTAAGATTTCGAAGAATTCACATTTTGAACTTTTTTTATTTGGTTTTTATGTAACTTCTCTATTTTCAGTATCATTTTATCCCAAAAATGTTTTTTTTTTCCAAATTTATGTGTTCGGAACGTTGGTATCTTCCACGGGGAGGATGCATTTCTTTGAATTTTTATTTTGTTTTCTCCCCCACTTTTTTTTTGTTTTTTTGTTTTTACTGTGTTAATCTAGGTTCTGCTTGGTTTTGAATGAAGGATTTTTTTAAATTTATTTTTAGTTTCTTTGGTTTAAGATTTTTCTTTGATTTTCTCGGTTTTGTGGGAGAATTTACCACGAGCTTTTATACCGAGCTTCTTCGATTTTGATTTAGGTCCCAAGAAATTAAATAGTATACGCTATTGCCTCTAAAGATTAAGTAAATTAGCTTTTTCATATAATTAAATGATTTTTGGGGGGAATTTTGGGAATATTTATGTTCTAGATGTGAAAAGATGCAATTTTTATGGTCATTTTTATTAGTTTTTTTCTTGAGATTTATTAAGAATATAAATCTTGTTCTCTCTGGTTTTATGTTCTCTATGTCTGCGTTCTTGGGGGTTGTCTACTTTTAAAGTTCGTCGAGTTTCCAAATTCAAGTCCACTCTTTACTTTGATTTCTCCTTTATTTTTGAGCTGAATAGTATAAAGTGCTTAGAATTGATTCAAATTCACTCTTTGCTTTGATTTTTCCTGTATGTTTGAGCTGAATAGTATAAAGTGCTTAGATTAATTATCTCATGGTCCCTTTTTGACTGCCCACTGGTTAGGTAATAATTAGGGATGCAGAGATTTGATTAATATTTTATAGTGTAATCTTTGTTTATTATTAGCTCTTATCGCTGTATTAGCTGGAAACTTGATTGTATTAGCTCCTAATTTTGTTGAATATCATGCTTGCCTTAACATACTTATCTTCATGTATGTGACCTCAACCCTGTATTAATTTATTATGCTTGGATTTGTCTATTCACACTGGGGACATGTTCCTGATGTATCATAGGATTTTGTTCTTTCAGATACTTCTGCCTGAAACATTGGAAGACAAACAACAGGGAATGCTGAAAGATGTGCTTGCTCGCCAATAAGTCACTGTCAAAGGTAAATGAGGTTGTAGCTCCGTATGAGCTGCACTTGTTCATCCTTGATGAGATTGGTGAGCGTAGTCTCGTCAGCCTGCACTTAGTGCATCCACAAACGATGCACCCAGAAATTCAAAAAGGCCTATTGTGGTAGTTCGCGACATTGCTGAGGACGGTTGAAGCCAATCTTACTTTGTGAAAAAAGCATAGGAAGTGAAGAGTATCGCGGTGTAAAGTATTAGATGTCACAAATGGGAACCGATCTGAAAGGGAGCATTCTGATGCAGAGATACGAAGTAGGGAGAATGCTGGGTCAAGGAACCTTCGCCAAAGTTTATCATGCGAGGAATCTTAAAACTTCACAGAGTGTTGCTATTAAGGTAATCGACAAAGAGAAGGTTTTGAGGGTTGGGCTTATAGATCAGATCAAACGGGAGATTTCAGTTATGAGATTGGTGAGGCACCCACATATTGTTCAGCTTTACGAAGTCATGGCTAGCAAAAACAAGATCTACTTTGTTCTCGAGTATGTCAAAGGCGGCGAGCTATTCAATAAGGTTGCAAAAGGCAAGCTCAAGGAGGACATTGCTAGAAAATACTTCCAGCAGCTTATCAGTGCGGTGGACTTTTGTCATAGCCGAGGTGTTTATCACCGTGATCTGAAACCAGAGAACCTCCTCTTGGACGATAATGAAAACCTAAAGGTCTCGGATTTTGGTTTGAGTGCTCTTGCTGATTCTAAGCAACAGGATGGCTTACTACACACAACATGTGGCACTCCAGCTTATGTTGCACCTGAAGTCATCAACAGAAAAGGATATGATGGTGCTAAAGCAGATATTTGGTCTTGTGGTGTGATTTTATTTGTTCTCTTGGCTGGTTACCTCCCATTCCATGATCCAAATCTGATGGAGTTGTACAGAAAAATCGGAAAGGCAGAATTCAAATGTCCCAATTGGTTCCCTTCAGATGTACGAAGGCTTATATCGAGGATCCTTGATCCAAATCCTGCAACTAGGATCTCCATTGCAAAAATCAAGGAGAATCCATGGGTCAGAAAGGGATTTAATGACAAGCTATTGAGAAATGAAGCAGAAACAAAAGAGACGGCCCCCGTTGATGTCAATGCAGTGTTTGGTTGCTCTGCAAGTGATGGGGGTGAATCAAAGCAGGAGGATGCGAAGCCTTTAAACATGAATGCCTTTGACATCATATCGCTTTCAGCTGGATTTGACCTCTCAGGCTTATTCGAGGGGAGCGAACGAAGAAGAGAAGCGAGGTTTACTTCTTCAAAGCCAGCTTCAACTATTATCTCAAAGCTAGAGGAGATTGCCAAGAGACTGAGGTTGAAGGTGAAGAAGAAGGATGGAGGAGTACTGAAGATGGAAGGGGCAAAAGAAGGAAGAAAAGGGGTGCTGGCAATTGATGCCGAAATCTTCGAGGTGACTCCCTCGTTCCATTTGGTTGAGATAAAGAAAACTAATGGTGACACCTTGGAGTATCAAAAGATTTGGAAACAAGAAATGAGGCCGGCGCTTAAGGATATCGTTTGGGCTTGGCAAGGTGATCAGTCGCAAGCTTTGCCCTCATTGCCAGCGCCACCAACCTCTGAACAACAGGCGTGAAGGATTTCGAGGGCTACGGTGTTCTGATAGATTTTATGGAACTTCCAATTCTCTCGTGCTTTCTTGATGACTCTATTAGCTATGATGTGTTGTTTGTGTGTTTATTATTGCCTGTAATTAGTAGTTTCAATCTTCATTCTCAGTTGGGCAAATGCATTTTTGTTATTTACATACATTTTGGACTGCTTCGTGTGTGATGAGCTCTTCGACTTAATTTGTTCGTCTACTTTCATCGGTTCGCTTGGTTTAAAACTCGCGTTGTATGGATTCGGATGCACAAGTTGAACCCTTTGCCTAACTAATTATGTCGTAGGTCGTGATGGCTTTTGTCATGAGTCTTCCCAAGGACCCATTTGGAATACTTCAAGTCATTGTTTAAGCGCGTGTGGACGTTTGCAGCTGCTGTATTCGTTTAAAAACTTGGTGATTATCATTAGATTATTCTTAATCATTTAGGATGATTTGATATGCTGCCGACGAAGTTGTCCTGCCTGCTGCTTCTTTGCTTTTTTTTTCCCACCTACCAATCGTGTTCTTTGTATCTTTGAATTGTTTAGGAAAAGTAATAAAGAAATAAATTGGATTGGTGTGCCTATACAAAAATGAATAAAAAAGAGTGAAATGGTCATTTCTATTCTCACGTTCGGATGCGACTAGATACTGCAGGGGGGTGAAACTTTTTATTTTTGACATAAATAATTAATCAATAATTTTGGAATTTTTGATATGTAATTTAAATGTTTTTCATTCCCACGTAAGTGGTATGCTTATTCCCCACTAACTCGTTGAAAATGCATATTCTCATAAAATGCGAGAATAAAAGAGGTGTGGGAATGGGCATTCTAGATTTGAAAAATATGGTGTGTTTAGTATGCATGAATGAGAAGTGAGAATGAGCATTCTATCCTCATTTATTTCCACGTACCAAATAATTATCTAGTACACCGATAATTATCAATATAACTATTTTATGCATTTGATTGCATGATAAAAGCTAGATTATAGGATTCCTTTTATGTCCTTTGACATTATTTTCCTTTACAACTAGGTTACATTGTGTACAATAAAAAACCAAACGTGTACAATAATACATTGATGTTTGAACACTTGTTTGTATGGTTGTACACAAAAATTAGAGAGAAGAATTTCTTCAAACTGAAAGAGGATAAGAGTAGAGAGAAAATAAACTACAAAGTAAGTACCTCCCGTTTCCTCATCTCGTTGCACCTTTCCTACACTAGTAGAAAATCGACCAAACTAGACGGAACAAATTTCCGTCTAGTTTGGAGCAAACTAGACGTAAAATTTCCGTCTAGTTTGTTCCGTCTAGTTTGTTCCGTCTAGTTTGGATCAAACTAGACGGAAAATTCCGTCTAGTTTGACAAACGAGACGGAACAGTCAAACTAGACGGAAATCCGTCTAGGTTGACTAGTCAACCTAGATGGAATTTCCGTCTAGGTTGAGGCAACCTAGACGGAAATCCGTCTAGGTTGCCTAGGGCAAACTATTAAGTTTGCCCAGGGCAAATCAGCCGCCACCCCCCCCCTCCTCCAGATACGGTATATGTCATTTAAAGATTTAAAAGATCTTAATGTTTAGTATGATTATGAAATCTCATAATTTATAATATGACAGGGGAAATCATTAATGCCGATACACTTGAGGGCCAGAGCGGCATATGGTACTTTTCGTGAACAATATAGGGGTGATGAGAGGAATCGGGATAAGATCACAAAAAATCTCGAGTTAGTGGTGAGATTTATACATATCTTGAGTAGTATTATTAATTCTATTTTGTTAACATTACGAGGAAACGAGAACACAAATAATATGGTCATTATCTTGAATTAACTATAAATTTGTGCTTTAGGAGGGATTTGAGAACGCATCCAAGGAGGCTGCATCTGTCTACATTTCGCAGGAGGAGGAACAAACCGAGCCAGACCCTCACATGCTTTCTGCAGAGGAGAACATCAATCTCACACAGAACCTGATGGGTCATAATACGTGAGGATAGTGAAAAATCAATTCAATTTGAATACTACATACTATTTATATTTGTTTACCATTATTGAATTTGAGAGCAAAGTTTAATATTTATTTCTCTCTAATAATAGGAGAGGAAGATATCCTCTACATGGTGTCGGAGCTTCACCTGGTATAAGCATCAGATCGTCCACAGCATCCTCCACACCATCTACATCGACGAGAGCAGCCACAAGCAGTTTCCAGGCTATGCCATTTGTCGCACATATCTCTGTGTATTTGATTGATAAGATTGACCAGGAGCTGCATATTCAGGTGACTAATGAGATGACTAGAGTTGCGCTGACGGCGAACTCGATGGACGATCTCATGGGGTATGTTATACAATATTTAGGCGGTGCTATTCCTTATAGCGCGTATGGTGGTGTCATACGGATCATTAGCTCCATTGGCGATAATTCCGGCGCTAGACAGAGTAGTGCTCAGGTACCTTATTTTTTCTTATATTTATAAATTCATTTTTATCTAATATGTTATCAAACACCACATAATGATTATTCAATTAAACATTCAGAGTGGAGATATTGGAGGGAGCAGCACCCGTTCTCGTAATCGGGATAGAGATACCCCCGCCGACGACGATGGATGAGGTTTTTTTATTTTTAATGCAATAAACAGTTTTATTTGTTATAACACTACATTTATTCATGTCGTGTATCATATCTTAGTTATGTGCATTGTTAATATATATGTTGTTGGATGTGTTTTAGACGGAACTGATTGATGTATATTTTGAAGTGGATGGTTGGATTTGTACAATGTGTTGGATTTGGTTATATAGATGTTTTTGAATGGAATTGTTATGAATTTTGATTATGATTGGATGGTTGAATGTGACGTGTACAGTATTTTTTGGATGTATTCAAATATTAATATAATTGTACAGGGAAATACAAATTTTAATTAATTTTTTTTCCCTGAAAAAAGGCAATCTAGACGGAATTCCGTCTAGTTATGAATTTTGATTATGATTGGATGGTTGAATGTGGCGTGTACAGTATTTTCTGGATGTATTCAAATATTAATGTAATTGTACAGGGAAATCCAAATTTTAATTAATTTTTTTTCCTTAAAAAAGACAATCTAGACGGAATTCCGTCTAGATTGAATCAATCTAGACGGAAATTCCGTCTAGGTTGTAAAAATCCAACCCAGACGGAATTCCGTCTGGGTTGGAAACCCAGACGGAATTTCCGTCTGGGTTGGGAATTCCGTCTTCCGTCTGGGTTGTCAACCCAGACGGAATTCCGTCTGGGTTGTCAACCTAGACGGAATTCTTTATTCCGTCTAGGTTGATGATGCGGCATAATTATGTACCAAAATTTACAAGTGCACAATTTATCAAGTTATAGTATAAAAAGATATCGATCCCACGAAGAAGGTGATTTTAAGAGATTATTAAACTTGGTTCTTATACTTTGTGCGTGACAATTAGGAATAAAGAATAAGTGTGAATGTGATGAGTGATTGTTGTGAATATTTGCAAAAGATAATAAATTGAATTTTAGAGGAAAGAAGGAAGAATTAAAGAATAAATGAAATCATAAGGCAAGAAATATGAATTAATAAAATCAAGAAATAAAACCAAAAATAAAAAGAAAATTTAAGAAAGTTAAGATGAAGGATTCAAAAGAGGTAAGAAATCTAGAATATAATCCACTAACCAATTTCAATTACAAAATATAAACTATTCTCTTTTTATCATATTTCAACTTAGATTTATTAAGCATAGATTATCAAACCATTTAAGGAAAGTGTAACCTATCAAATTATCATCTAAGTCAAAATTACTATTCATGATAAGAACAACAACATGATAATAATCCTAGAATTCATAAGCATAACCTATCAAACCATTTAAGATAAGCATAGATTATCAAATTCTTCTTCTACCGATTAGTTCTCTAGTTGATTATCCTAAACATGAACATTTTAAGTACAAGAGAATAATTCATACAATATAAAAGAAATTAGACTAGTTTCATACAATTCCAAGATTCTTACAAGAATTAAATTCACATCTTAAGAAATAAAAGCAAGAAGAAAAGGAACTAATTACAAAAATAAAAAGAAAAGAAAAATCTAAACTATGAACAAGAAATAAATCTAACTATAAAGAAAATAAAAATCTACACTACAAAATATATTACAAAAATTAAATACGAGAAAATAAATATATTCTACAAATTAAAGTGCAAAAAGAAATAAAAAGACAAGGAAATAAATCTACACTACAAGCATGAATTTAAATCTAACTAATAAGCAAAAATAAAAAAATTACAAAAAAGAAATAAAAGAGAAAAGAAATGCAAACCTTCAAATTGCTCTTCATCTCCATCCTCATCATTCAACAAGAGGAGAAAGAACAAATTTAAAGAGGAAAAATTATTTTTATTAATTGCAACTAAAGTTACAATTTTTGGAAGGCCTTCTAAATTAAGAGTAGCCCTCCTCTCCAAAAAGAGTTTATAAAATTTTCACACCCTTAACCCCTCACTCTCTATCCCTATTTATAGTAATCTTCAATGAATATGAGCCATTGGATTTGTCTTGAGCCCTAAGCAACAATCTCCACCTTTGAATTTGCTTTTTGTTCTTCTCTAGACCAATATAGGATGCCCAATTTATTTTCATTTGATAATCTAAAATCTGCAGCACAGTCCAAAGTCCATTTGATTTTTGGCCCATTGAGCTTTTCAAAATTAAATCTCCAGCAGCAGTCCAAAGTCTGGTTGATTTTCGGCCCATTGAGCTTTTCAAAACCCAACTCTTTGTAGCACCGGTCCATTGGGAAATAAAGCTTCAGGTCAAAGTCCGGTTGCACTTTGGTTTCCAAAATTGAGCTTCATTATTTTCAAAACCGAAAAAAATTCAGGTCAAAGTCCGGTTGCACTTTGGTTTCCAAAATTGAGCTTCATTATTTTCAAAACCGAAAAAAATCATCTGCAGCAATCAATAGGTCGGTCCATTGGGGTTTTGATTTTCAAAATTAAAGTTGCAGCCCATGTCCCCTTGTGCACATGTGATTTTCATAACTCCAAGTCCGGCCCAATTCAAGAAAATGAAAATGCAGCCCAATCTCCTTCATGAAGTTTTCTTTTGATTTTCAAAACAAATCCGGTCCATGAAGATTTTGTGGGCTGTGCATTAATGTGATGGAGGATTTT